ATATTAAAAACGGTTTAATAGAAGCATTTCTTTCAAAAAAAGGGCATAATAACATCATAAAAAGAGCATTATGCTAGTTAAGTATCAATGTCGATTAAGGCCAAGTGTCTGTACGTGTTTATTTGAAGACGCCCTGTGTGTGAACTTTCGGTTTTCTGGAGTAGTCGGGCAGGAAAAGCCCTCAGCAGGCCTTCATGGACGCAAAATGGAAAACGTGTGGGTAGTAACAGGATTACGTAATCCACGCAACAGGAGAGAAAAGGGCCAACGACCCAAGGGGTCGTTGCCTCTCGCCAAACGAGATACGGCTTTCTTTATAGCCAATTTAGAACTGATTATTACGTTTTGTATTCGACAAGTAAAGCTTTAGCTTTAAAATTGGATGTTCACTGATTTAGTAGCAAAAAATTGAAACAACCATTTATAGCTCTTCGTCGTGTTTCGTGTAGCGCACATGCAGGAAGCATTAAATTTTTTTGTACTTTCGAAAAGCGAATATCTCTAATTGGATTGGAATATTATTTATAGAAGTTTTTAGATACTTACGCCGAACACAAATCTGGTCGCGAAAATGCTCTCTACTACCCCCAAGTAACTACAGGGATAAAAAGGGGTTATGTATATACCTCTGACTTTCTTTTCTATACTTATCAGTATTATCCGGTACCGATGGCTGGATCCCAACAAAAGTGCCGTAGCTGACGGGTCATCATCATAAGGTGATTAGTCCTAAGATTGCTTGGACACGCACCTCCACTTCTTCCTATCCTGAGCTAATCTTCGTATTTCCCTAAAACTAGAACATCCCATATCCTTAACTATTTGTGAACAGTAATCTAATCTAGGCCTACCTGTACCTGTACTCCTGTTAACTCCTGTTAACTCCTGTTTCTGCTTCTAATATGTCTTTGACTAGACCTTCATGCCTGAGAAGGTGTTCTACCAACCTATTTTTTATTGACTTCCATAGAGTCTTCTGTTTTCCTATTCTTTCTGATACCTTTTCATTTCTAACCTTCTCTATCCATGATATCTTCATCATTTGCCTGTAACACCACATTTCAACGCTTCTAACCTTTTCTTTTCCGCCGCGCCCACCGTCCATGTTTCGCATCCGTACAGCGCCGAGCTCTAAACATACACCTTTTTCGAAAATCTAAATTAATCGTCCGTGAGCATAGAAGTCACTTTTTTACTGAAGACGACTCGAGCCTGCTCTATTCTCTGCTTTATATCCCTACTGCTCCTTCTGTTCTGACTTATCTGACTTCCTAGATATCTAAAATCAGCCACTGTTTCGTCTCCTATCTTTACATTCGACCTTTCCCTACTTTTTCTTCCCTTGTATACTAGTACTTTAGTTTTACTTTTATTTATTTTCATACAATACTGTTTTGTCAATGCTGCTTCCATTTTATTTAAAGCTACCTGTAACTCCACCTTGCTAGATGCTAATACTGCTATATCGTCTGCAAATCTATGCATACTAATATCTTTTACCCCTCTATATTTATCCCTACAGTTGTATTTAAACCGGGCCCACCTTTAATATAAACCTAATTTTAGCTTGTAGGTAAATGAACGTTATGTATACTTATTATTATTACTGCTGCTTTTTGTTTTTTTTTGCTTTGGTCCAATTAATCGGCTGGTACCCGTTCGGATCCTAAGAAAGGCGCCAGGGTACCCAATTCAAACTTGTCGCACCTCTAATATTAGCCTAATTTATCGTGCTATAAAAAATACTGCATACTTTTTCTTTACACTACTTTTTTTATTATCAGGCAGGTAATTTAAAGTTCAGCCATATTTTTCTAATATAATTGTTCTTTAGTTTGGGGGTAAAATTAGGTTTCGTTGATACTCGTCATTAATACCTTCAGTTGATGTAAAACAAAAACATATTAAATTTAATTTATTTTGCTGCTTTTTGAATTTTCCAATGAGACGAGGATTTTTAACTGTGCATTCTCATATTCTTATGATTTTATTCTTGAATTGCAAACAATTTTTTGTTCTCGTTTGGAACACAAACCACTCAGATATTTAAACATCGTTAAAAGGATTTTATTCGATAATCGCTGTTATCTCTAAACAACAGTTTTTTGTACCAAGGATACAGAAGAGGTGGCCGTGATCGAGCGGAGTGTCGTGTTTCTGCGACGACGCATTGCCATGGTGATGCGCATGAATCAGCTCACTTAGCCTGTTGCTTCTTGTTGTCTCGTGGTCTTGCCGGTCTTTAAACGTTCTCTTTGATGGTCGCTTTAAATAATCGACTAATTATTCCTTAATCGAAGTTCATTATGAGTAAAATAGTTCCTAAATGTATGTCGTGGGTGTCCTGGAGGATTTGATCGGAATAAACTAATTAAATTATAATCAAAAACTGTTTTATTTGAGCGTAGCTTCGTGAAAAATTGTACCGTTCGATTCACGTGTGCTTTCTCAACATTTGAATGGATGCATTATGGTCGGTAAGTGATTAATGGCGAAAATTTTTGATATTTTGATCTGTCTCGTAGGGTTCAGCCAGCGTTTGCAATGTAAGCGCAAAAAATGTGTTTATTTACGACATCACATTAGAAACCTCTAAAATTATCAGTGTTTCCCTACTATATTCTGCATGTATTATACATATAAACCTTCCTCTTGAATCACTGTATCTTTTAAAAAAACCGCATCAAAATCCGTTTCGTAGTTTTTAAGATTTAAGCATACATAGGGACAGACAGCGGGAAAACGACTTTGTTTTATACTATGTAGTGAACAAGACATGTTTAGTTAAGTTTATTTACAATTACAAGGTATGACATAGGTTACACTATTCCCCCACCCATAACCTACGTTTTTGCCATTATTTTTGAGGTTATTACGAGATTTGCGGAAATAGATAAGGGGAAACTAGTACCTTTTATGATTTAAATTATCGTGGTTTCTTAAGAAAGTGCCTACAAAGTAGCCAAGTTAATATTTCGTTTAAAAAAATAAAGACTTGGTTTGCATTTTCATAAAATCCCCTATAGTTCTTTTTGTTTAACCTTTTAGCAGGTAGATACCTCGAAAGATAACCCAGAAAAACTTAATGGAAAACTGTACATTTCGCTTACAGGGACTGATTTAAAAAGTATGGATAATGTACCTAGACTGCCATTTTAATTATGTACGAGTATTAATAAGTTAAAAATTTAGGTGTATTTCAAATAATGGAAGGTATTTAAATTATATTGCAATGCACAACAAAAGGAAAAATAGTAGGCACCTGCCTACAAAACAAATCCACAGGTGTGATAAATGCTCAGGTCTTTTTGCTTTGAGATTATTTTTTTTTATATATCGCCATTTCTACTTAACCGACTTCACTTTGAAATATTGGAGTATTCAGATAAACAATAAATTTTACCTTTAAAATTGCTTGAAACATTTTTATAAATAAAAACTTCGTTATTTTAACAATAAACTTAAAAAATCTTCTCTATAATAAAAATGGATCTCTACTTAAAGCTTACTTTTTTACACAATTTAAAATATTAATCTATGTTTTTTGTCTAACATCTGAATTTTGTTTCATATCGTATACCTACATTCACATTAATTTTTTGTTTGTAAATTGTAACGGCAGGAATCTTTCAGGTAACTCTCGGTCCCTTTGGGGCCAATCCGGGACTTTCGCGGTCGGGGACATTTACGATACAGTAATTAAATGGGACTTTTACGGTTCTTACCCGTAATAATGTATTTATTGACAGTTACGGTTCGGGTAGAAACATCTTTAGTGAAACATTTGTCTGTTTCTACCTGAATAAATATATCAATAAGGCTGGGGACTGCAAATTTACCAATTAATTACTACTGCAAATGTCTTGGATGGCAAATGTCCTAACACCCTTGGGGTATGTAAACTACAGCAACTCATAAAATGCATAGTTGCCATCTGTCTAGGGATTTTCCGAGAGTATGGTTGTGTGGTTAGGGTTGGAGTATGGTTAAGCATAGACACTACATACGAACGGTTTACATTTTTCAGAAAAATGAATCGGAAACTGTATTATAAATAATGCTCTGGTAAAAATATTTTCTGAAATACATATACCGCCTTGACAAACAATCCATTACTTACAAGTCGATAGATTTTCCTCTTAACAAATAAGGGTAGAATAGATATACAGGGGCAAAAGATTATTATGCTTAGATTTGCAGATGATATAGCAGTGTTAGCATCTAGCGAGGAAGACTTAGAGATAGCTGTAAATAAAATGGAAGCGGTACTGACAAAAAAAGATAGGCGACGAAAAATTAGAAGAAGTGGCTGATTGTAGGTATCGAGGAAGTCAGATAAGTCAGGACGAAAGGAGTAGTAGGGATATAAAGCAGAGGATAGCAGAAGGCCGTGTCACCTTCAATAAAAAGAAGTCACTTCTATGCTCGCGAACGGTTAATTTAGAAATTCGAAAAAAGTTGTTAAAGGTATCTGTTTGGAACACGGCGCTGTACGGGTGCGAAACATGGGCAGTAGGCGCGGCGGAAAAGAAAAGTTTAGAAGCGTTCGAAATGTGATGTTACAAGCAAATGATAAGGATACCGTGGATAGAAATGAAGAGGTGTTAGAAAATATAAGAGAACAAAGGACTACAGAAGTCAATAAGAAATAGGTGAAATAGGTTGATAGGACACTTTCTCAGGCATGAAGGTTTAGTCAGAGACATATTAGAGGCAAAAACCGGAGTTAGGAGGGGTAGAGGTAGACCTACATTAGATTACTGTTCGCAAATAGTTAAGAATGTGCGTTGTTTTAGTTTTAGGTAAATGCGAAGATTACATCAGGATAGGAAAGAGTGAAGGTACGTGTCCAACCAGACTGACGACCTTATGATGATGATGACCTTTATTAATACGTTAAGAAAAACTCAATATTAATGAATCAATTATTAGTCTTCTATTAAAGTTTCTTTTCGTTAATTAGGTAATTCAATTAAATTGAGAAATTAAATAAAACAAAATTTTTATCTCCAATATGTTTAATGCTCACAGCGGCAGATACAACTTTTACCCTACGTCTTCTATCAACAAAATAATAAACTACATTATTTCTTAACACCAGTGACAACACGCAGCAATATAATAATGATCTCGAAAATATGTAGGTAATATGATGCGATTATTTCACGTTCAATAACATCGAGAGGCCGTTTTGTAGTGTTTATTATTGGTATAGGTACGGTATAGGTATACCATCTTCTTTTATTTCTTATCTTTCTTGTTATTAAACTATTAGGTACGTGTCTCTTATTAAGCGTAAAACACCTTTGTGTCGTAAAACAACAATTCTTTATAACATTTACAACAACTATAAAATATCTATGCCTCTGTACTGGCGTTGTTGTTATCGTTTTTTTCCTCTTGCTTTAGTAGTACATATTTATTTAAAGTCAAATTTAAACGTTTTATAAAAAATGCATACAAAATACATATAGCAATATAACTTTCAACATAGATAAGGCATGCCTAAAAGGCGGTTATAATATTTATCTCGTTCTTTTTTTTATGTTTTATCGTCGTTGCTTCAAATCGCTTACAGATTAGAGGAAACTGAAATGTTTCGATCATGCAAAATTAACAAAAGAACACACCCCTTAGAAATTTTTTGTACAATTTCTTGTTGTCATATCCGTAATGCAAAAAATACACGTATTGTACCTACCTAAGATCTATTTTTAATCAATGATATACGTATTTATACATGTAGTATCTACATGTATTCGTTAATTTATTATCTAATTACACAAAGATACTGCAAAATGTCCGTATACTTCGGAATATTACAATTTTTCGCTAGGGAATTTATTAAAGACTCTTCCAGACTAAGGAGAAATAAAATGGAAATGTACAATACGTTAAATTTATAATGCGTAAGATACAGTTAGCTTGTTTTATTTTTGATCTACAGCGGTGACACTAATAAAGATATTTTAACAACGAAAAAGCCTCTAAGAACAAATTTCCGTTAGAGCGATTTTTCTATATTATTTTCTTTATTATTGGTGGACTTTTAGCATGTTACGCCTGTAGAATGACAGAAAATTTTATTTTTTTTATTATAGAAACAAAAAATACTTTCTGTAAACATTCCAGTATTTTTCTTACCTTTTACTAATAAATGCATTTCAAAACTGTTGTACGGTAGAAAATTTAAATTGAGCAACGCGTGCACTAAAAAAACATGAAACACAATTGGATAAGTCTTCAAATCAATCATATATTGTATTATTTTATTATGATTGTAAAAGTAAAGTTGCCTAGTTCTATTTCGTAAATTCGCGTTCTGATTTTGATTTGTTATGTAGTCTGAAAGCGCCCTTATATATATATATATGTTAATATATCATAATGAAATGTAATCTAGTGGACACAAATCCGAATTGTTAACAATAACACAAAATGTATTACATGCTGAGTATACTAAGTACAAAACAAATGTACTGTAGTTATTATAAATGATGTTACTTATTTAGGTATGAGTTGTCGGTCCTTATACATATAAAAAATGCAGTGCGTGTTAACTTTGGGGCCGCGTTACAATCTATTATTTACTACTTAATGAAAACATAGACGTTTTCGAGATGTTTTTCATCACGCAACGCGTTTACGTGTAATATTATCGAATATGTCACAGTTATAAAAATATGCGTTAGAGATAGTTCAGAATCTCATGAACCAAACGTAGAGCTGCGCGTGTTAAAAAAATGACACAAGTTGACGGCTGAGTCAATGTTTTCGTAATGTCCACCTCTCGCGCTTGTGAAGGCGCATGAGATTTTGAACTGGCTGTACAAATCTTAACAACGTCATATTATATAAAACTTGTTGCGACGCGATGGTACGTATTTTATATTTATGTACTTATATAAATTTATATTCGATTCATTTTGGAAAGTTGACGATATTTTACTGGTGCTAGTCGACACATAGAGTTCATAAATATCGATGAGAGCATTATTTCAAATCAAAGAGATAAAACAAGGACCGGAAGTCCTTGTTCTCAACTGAACTAGAAACTACGTACTTTTCCTTAACAGCTAAAAAAGTTGAACTTGCGAGCATTTTGTCAACTACTCTCATTAATTAATATTCGTTTCATTTTTTTCTCTCTATTTCATCTTTACTGCATAGTATTATTAATACCACTATTTCTTTTAGCTTCAACCAAAAAATAGACTATATATAAACATAAAAACAATCAACAACAATTATTTAGACTACTGCGGTAATCATTAACAGCTGCCATCATGCGGGGGACCATTGTTTTTTTTTCTTCTATTTATTTTTACGAAGGCAGAATATTTAAGGTAACTTGTGAAAAAATTAAAATATGCATCTTGAATAATTAACGACAAATATGTATATGTACAAATATCTAACTTAAAAAAATGGTTTCATCGCACCAAACATTGCAGCGAGCGAAATGGGATAAAAATAATAGTAATTGTTTATCGGACGAGCCACACTTCAGAATTTCTAGCTTATTATGCAGTAAAAAAAGTAAGAAAAACAACCAAACCAAACCTAACCTAACCCATACATAAATAAATCAACAAAAAATATGGAAGAATGAATACAACGTTCTTGTTGTTTTTTCCTACTGTCACATAACCTAACTTTCCGAACTACCTTTAATTTCACTGCTTAGCATTATAAAGTTACAGTTGAAACTGTCCTATTTCTTTTGTTTACAGCAATGTGAATCAAATCAAAAATCCTCAAGTCCTAATTTTTGGTTCTTTTGATTACGTATGTGTTGGGTTTTTGGATGTTTTACTTACTTTTTTAAACCTTGAAAACTATGTGTGGGGATGATTTCTGCGCCCAAAGTATGTATGCTCCTGATTAGCACGTTGAACTGTGCAAAATACTAGAACTTGTAAGAAAAACAATTACTAAAATAATTTTAAGTTTTTTTCTCTCTTCTATAATTATTATTATAATTTATTGCTCATATAAGAGAAGATACACGAATAGCAAAACTTAATTATTTGTATTCACTCCGGAGTGTACAATTTTATTAAAGTAAATTAAAGTATTAATTCGAATAATAACAGTTACAAAACAATTTATGTTCTCTCAGCACATTCACATTACGTGTACATAAAAACGTAATTCTAAATTTCTCTTAATTCTTTTAATTTTTTATTAAACGAATGGTTTATTATTTATATTATTTTATCCCATTTTTCTAGACATGACAAGTACCCAGAATTGCGTGTGATTTTTATTTGTATATATGCAGGTATGTAACAGCTAATGGTAACAAACGTATACGAGGATTGTTGAAAAAGTTGCAATAAATATTTGGCCGTCGCATGTAGGCTCATACCGTCACGTTTTGGTAGAGGTAATTTAAAATGACATGTCCCGCGGCCTTGAGTTGCGTAGTACCGAAAATTCCGTCCATTCATTGATTTATACGTTTCCATGTCTTACTGTCACTTTTTGCAGTGGACCTTAGTCTCTATCTCAGGTTGTATAGAATAACAACCGTGTCGATGTATTCCGAATGTACAATACGCATGCTAAAGGTTCATGTCATTCTACGCTACCTATAACAGGGTGTTACCCACCCAGCGATACTCCGATCGTTTCAGCCAACAACTGACGGTACACCAAACGAGATTTATTATAAAATATTACCTATAAAAAAAAAAAAGAAAGAGGGAAGCGTGCGAGTTCCGTCCACGCCTCCCCGCGATTTTTCTTTTGCTTTCCTAATTCGAAACGACAAAATGATGAATTCTTTTATTCTCTCTATACAAACAATGAACTTAATACTACTCGGTGATCGCTACACAGTAGGTGTCAATATATACAAAATGTTTTGGTAAATTCCCGCGCAAATGACAAATTCGCGAATGAGTTTTTATGATGAGGCGTCGTGGTGTTGGCGGTGTTTTTGCGGTGGGGGTGGGTGGTGGGTGAGTGGCGACGAAGAGACCAGCTCCGACGGCGGCATTATACGTCCTCGTACTTGGCCAATTTATTCTGTAGCATCAAGTTTTCTTTTTTCAATCTTTCGAGTTCATTTCGCAAGCTCACGTTCTGCAAAACCAATGCAAATGTTGATTAGTTTCTAAGCACAAGAACTTAAGTGGTTATGGTAATGGGTAATGAGACTGACAACCAGAGATGTGATTCATATGAAATATGCAAAATTTAAAATGCAAATACAAAATAAAAACTACCTATTTTTATCTTGCATAAATACTTTTTTGAGAAAAGCGTTTTGTATTTTATTTAAAATACTTTTTTGTCATGTTAGCTAGGAAAGCTCGTTTTGCATGCTATGAAATAGGGAAGAAATGGCCTCTTTTCAGCCTTGTTTTAGTCGGGAGGAAATGAAATTAGTCTTTTGAGCGCATGCGCTGAAGTTTGTGGGCATGCGCAGAAATCAGTTGTTCAATGACAATGTCTTTCTAACCTCTAAATCATTTACTCTTATTTCACCAACTATCAATTTAACGACGAGCTTTCCGCCTTCGGCTCTGGTGGCAATTCACATGCAGTCTGAAAAAACCCTGTTTCTTCCCTCGATACGTAATGTACTATTACAAACGTATTTTCTATTTGTAAAATGCAAAATACATGTTTCGCCATTGAAAGTTTTTCTAGTGTCACCCATCAAACATTATATAAAATGATGAATGAATGTTGCTCACATTGACCATTGAAGGCATTAAAAGCTTAAAAAGGGGACAAAGAGGCATTCCATGAATTCCTTCTAATTCTTTAACTGAAGAGAGCCCAAAAAATTCTAAACTCCTAGGAAATGGATAATCTAAAATATTGGATAGATATTGTTCTTCGGGTTCAATGTCATGGTCCATGGAATTTTAAAGTTACAAACTGATATCAGCACCTGCCAAATTACTACGTATCGTACCTTTGCACGAAACGAAAATGTTGATGCTACATCAATAAAATTATTTGCAACCCTATTTCGGCTCTGATCTTTCACGCTAAACAAACTATTTTGGAACCAGTGACTTTTCTATTTAAAGCGAGTGACAGGGGAATCACATACACATATAGAAGAATTATTTGAGAACAATAACATAAAGATAGAAAAACTGTATCTCAATCACTTCAAACATTAATTGATTATTATCTTTAAAGAACCAAAAGCATTGCCTATATTAGGGTGAAAGCAGGGAAATTCAATTCACAGCCAACATCATACTGTAGAATTTTCGTTAGCTGTGCGCACTCATCTTCCGTTGCATACTGAAATGTGTCAAAAATAATTTTGATGAATTTCTGTATTAAAGAAATGATTAGGGAAAATGTTTGTTTTGTAAATACATGTAAAACGTGGTACATAAATGTTTTCTTACTTCTTTTTCCAAATATCCCGCTCGTAGGGCGATCTGGTTCTCTTTCATTCGGCGGGCGTCCCTCGACCGTTTCGCGGCGAGGTTGTTCTTCCTCCGGCGCGCCCAGTACTTATCGTCCTTGAGGTCGTCGGGTACGAACTGCTTGCGTGACTTCTTGATCAGCGGCTGCGGTTTGAGCTCTTCGTCTGAAAACACTCTAGTCCGTGGGTCGAAATCGCGACAACTCGACGCCATTGATAGCGCTTCAGAAAAGACTGTATTTTAGGACATTAGTATTTTTGTTCTAACCCGGGCGTCACTCAAACGCTAATATTCTCAAAATTTACGGTGCTTTTTTTAATCTTCTTCCATAAAGACCAAAATATATACGTGAACTGACCTGCTTGGTCACCGAGTACTACAAAAAGCCTCACTAAATATTTATAAGTAAAAATATTTAATTATGTTCAATGTTTTTAGATAGTCTTTTGCAGTAATTATCTAAATCTAAAAATTATGACTTTACAAAAAGATATAGCTGTTTACTTATTTTTACAATTTTTGCAATGCTGTTTTGTACGAGCCTATCAAATATATAGCTTATTTCATAATTGGAAAAATTTAATTTACACTATGTCTACTTGTTTTCTAATCATCGTGTATATACAAGAAATATTAAAATTACGCCAAGATTAGTAAAGAAATTTTAAGAAAATCACAATATAATGTTTTGGTAAAAGTGCCCGGCATTGTAACTAACATGATCAAAAATATCATTTATCCATAACTCCACATAATAAGGTAATATTATACGTGAAGTTAAGTAAGACTTTTTAGAAGCGCAAATCGCTAGATGGCGTTTAATCGTCTTTTTAACTTTATAATATAATCTTGCCAAAGTTGGTTGTGAATTATATCTCTCTTTTTAGAATGTATGTTGCATGATTTTAATTTTTGCAGATTGTAGCAATTAATAAATTGTAAAAAATGTAGATAATAGTAAGACAGCGTTATATAAAATATTTCTTTAACAAAAAAATTTCAATTAACAGCAGACAGAAAGTTCTTACGAAATTTAGCAAGGCTTGTGTATTTTGCCAATTCAACTGCGACATAGTTTTTCATAAAAATATTAACATCGCAAGAAAAGAAAAGATTGTGCAAATAAATTAATAAATGCCTTTTCTCCCTTATCAATTTTAATTTGCCGTAATCAATTCAGAACTGTTTCAGGTAAAAATATTTTTATTTCTGAAGAAAATTCCGAAGATTCGCTCAAATCCAGATGAGCATTACGTCGGAATTTTGTGGAGAAATATTAAGGATTTTTAACGGAACATTTGATTACTACAAATTAATTGCTAATGTTTTTGTATATTTTCTTTTCTTTAGGTATTTAGGTAAAGTCGAAATTAAACAATTAATAAAAAACAAAAATGTCCTTATAACATGTCCCTTTGTTATTTAATATATTCTTAAAGTCCTTGTAATCATGCAATCATTTCAATTTTGATTGCAAAGCTCCTTCAAGGTTTTATGCAATGCAGAAAACGGCAATTTATAAACATGTAGCTTTTCTAATGGATACAAACCAAAAATTGTCCTTGAGGCAGCCTTGAAATCTCGAATGAAACGTAGCGACAAGATCAAGGGATCGAACTTTATCGTAAATAATGATAAGCTTACAGAGAGAAGGATTTACAGTGAATAATGATTTCGAAGGTGGATTTAGAAATGGTACATTTAAGTTGAGAAAGACACAAAAAGGGAATGAAAAAAAATGAACGTACAAAACTGTGCTATTTTTCATTAAATTTCAGTTTCGTTTAAATGTTTGACCGTAATGTTTGAATAGCATTGACAAACTAGGTATGAGGAAGCGAAATGCAGATGCGGAAGTAATAAATGTGAATTTTATACGGTGAAACAAAGAAACATGATTTCATTTCAGAGGCGTGGTAGGTGTTACTTAAATGTAAGAAATGCATACTTTAAATAATAATTTCGAGCAATACCTACCTACGTAAAAAGATGCGGATGAAACTGAAACATAAAATATGATCAATGTTTAATTAAAAACAAAAAATAATAACAATAATAACAATTGCAAAAGTAGAGTAGTAATGATGAGCAGCAGTCAAATTGGCAAAACGATGTACAGAATTTTCGTTTGGATTCAGAAAGGGGAAAACTGATTTGCACAAATTATTGTACGCTACGAATTACGTGAGGAATGATGTGAAAATGACGAAAATGTGAAAACTCATGCACAGTAAAGGGCATTAACTCAATTTTTAATACTAATTTCGCGCGTTGTAGAAATTCGACTAACATCCTTTCAAATAAAATAATGCTACATTTTAAGATTACTACAGATGGCGTTACCGCGCAATTTGTGGTATTTTATAAAACGCGCTGTTAAGACAGCAGGTAAAAATTGGTCTGCGTTTTGTCGAAGCTGTCTGCGACGCGCCGATGAGATCCAAAAAGATCGAAATCGCGAACCACGTCTGGCAGTTTCGACAGAATACAGACCATTTCGAATTATTTTATACGATTATGGTAACGTGCCTATCACGTTCAGGTGAGCTACGCCGGAATTCGTTTCAGCAAGTAGATATCCATATATTTAAATGGACCTTCTTGGAGCATACGTAATCCTAAAATGTAGCATTGTACTACAGATGGCGTTTACCGCGCCATTTGTGGTATTTTATAACTTCCTTTCAATTGAATAACATAATATCAAATTGGATTAACCTCAACTTTTGATACAAATTGCAATTATTACAATCGCAATTGCAATTCGTACCTGGGCAGATTATAACCAATGAGGTAAAGCGCCCGATGGTTATAGGTTAGGTTTTGTTTCTGTAAAATTATAATCATTATCATCAAAAGGTCGTCAGTCCTAAAACTGGAACATCCCGCATCCTTAACAATTTGTGAAAAGTAATTTAATCTAGGCCTACCCTCTTCCACTTAGCTTCTATTTCTGCTTGTAATATGTCTCTAACCAACCCTGAATTATCTGACTTCTGTTTTGTCAATACCGCTTCCATTGTTTTTAGGTCATATCTCTCTTTGCTAGATGCTAATCCTGCTATGTCATCTGCAAATTTAAGGATACAAATCTTTTTTTCATAAAGTTGTCCTGTCTTTAATGACATTTATCGCATCTTCGATATCATCTTCTAATTAATTATTTGTCGCCATTTTTTAAATTATCATCATTATAACGTCGTTAGTCCTAAGACTCGTTGGACACGCACCTCAACTCTTTCCTATGTATCCTGTGGTAATCATCGCATTTCCCTAAAACTAGAACAACTCACATCCTTAACTATTTACGAAAAATAATTTAATCTAGGTCTAGCTCTACCCCTCTTAAGTCCCGTTTCTGTCACCAATATGTCTCTGACTAGATCTTCATGCCTATTTCGCCTATTTCTTATTGACTTCCATAGTTATTTGTTCTCCTCTTTTTGACATCCTGTCCCATTTAACATTGTCAAAAGTGTTTTCGTCTGCATCTACGAATCCTTTGTATGCGCTCTTTCCTTTTTCTATTGTTTTCTCTATTGTAGTCTATAAGGTGAAAACGCCCTCTCATGTTCATCTGTTTCTTCAAACTAAGACGGCGTAAGGTTTATTTAAATGAGCATTTTTTTTGCATTACATCAAATACTTATGTTTAATCCAGTATAAGACAGGTTCGCGTAAAAATGATGCAATATTCAATATTGCATTGCGATTGGAAATCTTAATTTGATTATTAGAAGCGATTGCGAACAAATTGTGTCGGTAGTAATTAGCAGGTGCCGGATATGTCTTTATAAAAAGCAAACTGCTCATAGTTAATTAATTCTTTTTGCACTATTAAAATAGCAATTTGTTAACTTCCTGTACCGATTGCCATTTAATGCTGGTAGGTGCCAGAAACACTACCGCATATCGCAAGTTGTAGCAGGCTGGGAACGGACCACACCAATGTTTACACCGTTTCATTCTTTTAATGTTCATTATCTTATTTTATAAAGCGCAATCAATTAACTTGATAGTAGGAAGTAACTGAATTACGACATGAACAATTTTTTAAATAACGGTGAGTAACTTGAGAATTTAGAAGAATTTTTATGGGGTTTGATATGCATTCAAGTGATTTAATTTTTGAATTAATTTTTATCATTACAAAAAAAAAACCTAATTCAATGGCGGTATTTGTAACTAAGGAAAGCAATGTGATATTATGGGTTTTTGTAGGGAATTTTTTTTGGGTGCATGCAGTTTTTCTACCTAGGTCACATGCGAGAATGTCCGCCACATTAACCAATAAAATAATAGAAACTACAAAAATCTTCGATTATTTGTGGTTTTTCCTAAACGGAACATAAAAATATAAGAAAATGGTATCAAAAAATACAATTGACGCTTCAAGAACATCTACATCTTCTTCGTCTGATGAATTTTCGTAAATTTTGAATATAGTTAATTATCTGATATTCATCATCATCATAAGGTCGTCAGTCCTAAAATTAATTGAACACGCACCTCCACTCTTTCCTATCCTGAGCTAATCTTCGCATTTCTCCAAAACTAGAACATCCCACATTCTTAACTATTTGCGAACAGTAGTCTAATGTAGGTCTATCTCTACTCTTAACTACTGTTTCTGCCTCTAATATGTCCCTGCGCTGTCCTCTGCTTTATATCCCTACTACACCTTCCGTCCTGACTTATCTGACTTCCTAAATACCTAAAATTAGTCACTTCGTCTAAACTTTCGTCTCCTATCTTTATATTCGCTTTTTCTCTACTTTTTCTTCCCTTGCATTCCACTATTTTAGTTTTACTTTTATTTATTTTCATACAGGATGTTAATACTGCTATATCTTGTGCAAATATAAGCATGCTAATCTTTTGTCCCTCTATATCTATCCCTATAATATTCAATTTCATAATCTTTATTTTGGCTAAATAATAGATGAGCCCATATTTTCTTTTTACAATTGTGTATACGACACTCCCCTTGTTCCATGAAATCTTACCAAAGTGGCTTAAGAATCACAAGGTAAAAAACTACTCTTGCTATGGCTGTCGTGTTCCGGTAATACTGTTTCCGCTCTTGCTTTACCGCATTAGTTTGAGTGTACCTCATTATTACAATGTTTACGTATACTACTGTATTTATTTATGTTATAAGCGAATACTGAAAACGTAAATTTAAAAACAATCTTTATTTCAATTTAATTACTTATTTGATTGTGTTTTCTCTTTTACAATTAAGGTGACCTTTATTGTTGCATTACGTAATTTTGCATACGATTATGGATACGTAAAAACTTACACATCCCACTCGTAAATGACATCTTACTGAATTTTAATTAGTAGGTACATACTGGTATGTAATTAACAGAGAAACAATCGATCGTCCCTTTATCTTTCCTGTTGACTTTTTTTAAAGTTTTTGATGTTGAATATTCTACATATACCTATTGACACATGTATCATTCATCATTTTTGCTACTCGTGAAATCGTCGTTTCCAGACCTAGAACTGTTTTTCACAAAAGTGTGACGCGTGAACTATGTGGCCAATCGGCCCGCGCGCTTCTTTCATTAGCGTGGTGTTCTAAAACCATTAATTGGGTATATGTTATATACGGGATGTTCTACCTAAGGCTGTTAACAAAGTTTACTCAAATTCAAACAAAGAAACCAAAAAAGTAAAAATATATTGAGTGTTCCATTTAAAATAAGAAAGTCATGAAGCGTCCGGAAGAAATGGAACACCATGTGTGACTGAAAATATTTCCTGTATATGATTGCAGACCATTTTTATAAAAACATTTATTTGTTATACTTCATTTACTTTTTCTAGCGATGTGCCCCTTCCAATGTCATGGATGCACGCTGGCAAAATCGTAGGTAGGGAGAAAAAAGCTCATTATACTCTCGACTCTTGTTCATTAAACATACTTTTTCATTCAGTACCTGCCAAAAGTTTTGTTCAATCATGAACAGTAGTGCGAGTCGAAGACAAGCGTTAAGGCCTTTAATATGTCTTCAAATCTAAATAAACATCTCGTTGATTTTTTGAGTAGTAATTGGTACCAATAATAGCACATCTAAGCAATGCAATTTTAGTGGAAAAAATGGTCAATTTTTCCGTGCAATACTGTACGGATTATACACTCCTCACCGGTTAAGAGTTTGGCCGAGAGTTGTCTCCTTTCTTTTCTGGCCTAGTGCTGTTCTTTTCTACTTTGCGCCGGTCAAACTAAAGGTCACATCGTTAGAGAAATTAAACGAAAGTATAAATGCATAATTACAGAGTTATGGACGAAAGAACCTTAGGTTGGGTTAGGTTAAGTAGAACACCCTGTATATCTGTGACATGAGCAAACACCGTTTCCTTATTACTATTGAGCATGGAGTATATCTATCGGTTTTCACTGGACAATTTATGCTTAAGTAAATCGTTAAAATAACTTTTACGATTTACCATTAAATTGTAGGTTTCAATTAAAACTTAGCCTTAAAAGTACCCTTTACTGCGCTTGATAGGTATTAAATAGGTGTGTATGCAATTTGCCAACAAAAAACGCTTTCCGATAAGATCAGCGAAGTATGTCAAAATAATAATCTCGTTGCAAATATCAAATGAAATTCGCGGAAATTAATTAAAACAATTTTTAGTTATTTTAAAAGTTGTAATATACTACATACATATAGGTAAGCAGGTAATTTACTATTATTATTTTACTTATATACTTTCCGTACTTACGTTTTACATTCCGACTATCTCTAGTCTTATCAAGATTTTTTTTCTAAATGCTTGTTTTATGAATTCCTTATGAAATGTTGCAATTTCGTCCTGAGTACAATAGCGAAATAAATTACTTACTGTTTCCGTACCAGTAAATAAATAATCAAAAGTAATTTACAGTTATCGTTTGCGTTTGTTGTTAACAGCACAATGAATAATATGATAACATGAAAAGGAATAGTGTGGGTATAGCATACAATGATGATCCACTGAATCAAATTCAAGTTTCACGATGTATAGTTGCGATGATAATAAAATAGGTAAGGTAGACAGGCTATTATATATGACTTACGGATTTTTAATTAATGATCTAAACGTTTGTTGTATCCAACTCATTGTATTATACAACCCTTCTAAAGAAAACACCAGAAATGGCGCGGTAAATGCCATCTGTAGTACAATGCTACATTTAGAAACGAATCCCGGCGTAGCCAACCTCAACGTAATAAGCACGTTACCATAATCGAATAAAATAATTCGAAGTGGTCTGTATTCTGTCGAAACTGCCAGACGCGGATCGCGATTTCGATCTTTTTGGATCTCATCAGCGCGTCGCAGGCAGCTCCGACAGAACACAGACCAACTTATAAGTTAGCTACGCCGGGATTCGTTTCAGCAAGTAGATATCCATATATTTAAATGGACCTTGTTGAAGCCTACGTAATCCTAAAATGTAGCACATTGTACTACAGATGGCGTTGATCGCGCAATTTGTGGTATTTTATAAAACGCGCTGTTAAGACAGCAGGTAAAAGTTGATCTGTGTTCTATCGGAGCTGTCTGCGACGCGCTGATGAGATCCAAAAAGAACGAAATCGCGATCCGCGTCTGGCAGTTTCGACAGAATACAGACCACTTCGAATTATTTTATTCAACCCTTCTAAAGTAAAACGGCCGTCCATAAAATATATTTCATATTATTATTTCGTCATATTATCACCTTTCCGATTCTAAAATCGCTACGTCAACCCCCACCGTTCTCCCCCACGTAACAAAACCGTACAGCCAGACTGGACCCCTCTACCCCCAATTTTGGTTACGTAATTTATAGACAGCCCCTAACGAAAATGTACAATGTAAGTAGCAGTTGATACTAATTGGTAACTAAAAATTTTTTGAGTGTTTCTATCCATACTCGGGTTCCAGTGTAAAGCTGGAGGATAGAGTGGAAGGTCCTATTCAGTTTTGCAGGGGTGGTAGTTGAGAAAAACAAAAATGAATACAGAAATAAAGGTAAAAGAAGTGAAAATTAAAAAAAGAAACTCCAGCACATGATTCTAAACATATTCGGTCAATGTTTTGATGGTGACATCTTTACTGATGAAACGTGAGCATTCAATTTTCTAAATATGAAAGACATTTACGCCCTTATCATCACCATCTTCAGTCCAAAGACTGGTTTGACACGTATCTCCATCAACCTACATCTCTAACGATTTGCAAACAATAATTTAATCAATGTCTGCATCTACCTCTCTTAACACCTGTCTGCCTCTTATTTGTCTCTAACTAGCCCTAAGGGCTTCTATTTCATTTCCGAAGCGCCCACCGGTAACGTTTCACACCCATGCAAAATCTTAAGTGTTAACTAATAGATTACTTGGTAATGACAACTCGAAAATTGTCCGGAACGCTAGTAGATAGTAGACATCAATTCTTTCGCATTTTGCGATTTTTTGATTCACGTATTATGAAACTTGAACTTGATTCGCCTTAAAATTTACTTTTTTTCTGATTCTTGTTGTAAACTTACTCGAGTCAGCGGGTGAAGGAGGGTTGATGGTGTCTGGACTCATGCAGTCGCTAGGACTGGGCGATCGCTCCCTTTTTGTGACTCCGTGTCCACTGCTAAGGGATGCTGACCCATGAGAACCTAGACCGTCCATTGAGACACCATTTTCCGACAAGAACTCGTCCAAGTCCACATACTAAAAAGAAAAAAGGTTCATCATTATTTCACTCCTTTTCTGCTTTTCTCATTGCGTGGGTTCGTCTAGAGTTACGGCGTGTTAAAGTAAAAACAATAATTGGATATTAAATCCTTATAATTGGATATGGGAAGGAAAAACATTTTTAATGCGTAAACATCTTATGTGACGGTAGAATATAGATCCAATTTTCTATGTCTATAATCACAAATGTGCAAAATGTTTTTTTTTTAAGAATTTAAATACAAAATGCAAATACTTTTTTGATTTGCTATTTCAAATGTAAAATACAAAAAAAAATCCCTTTTGTATTTTAAATGCTACATGCAATTCCATGGATCATGACATTGGTATCAAGATTGAGAAAATTTTTGATCTTTTTATTAAAATCAAAAAGTGTGTCATTTATTAATTTTTTTTTGCCTTCAGAAAGCATAATGATTATTGTATTATGACAGTTTAAAAAGTTAGTAGCTAGCGTGGTTTCGTCAGCAACAGTGCTTTCCTTCAGTAAATTATTCAGAAACGGACTCGTGGCTGAGTTGATCGCAAAACTGGTATTCTCATTCAAGTATTTTAATGGAGACATACAATTTTTTTTTTGTTTATTAATTGTCTTCTAAATTTTTTGTTATGACGATATCTTTTTAGCACCTTGAACCCTGTTAAACTGAATTCTACGCAAATGCAATCGTAATGGAACTGTTTAAGATTCATCAAAGTTAATAAGAAAAGGGTTCTTAAACTTCCACCGACAGAACCCAGTGAGTCTGTGTATGAGAGATGAGCGCTGCGGCGAATGCCAAATAAATCGGGATTGATATTCGGAAAACGCGCCAAGTTGCAAATTTTGCAGCCACGCCTGTTGGTTTATTCATAGATGCGTTCCCAAATCGGTTTCCGTACCAATAATAATAATCGCAAATGTATTATTGACTTTAGATTAGTGATGAGCAAAATTCGTCTTGATCTTGCGAAACTTTAACACCAAGACTGGACCAAAATAAAATGTTTTAATATTTAATATATATACCATTAATAATATTTATGATAATTAAAAAAATTGTACTTAGAAGAATTACTAAAAAAGTATTAGATTAAATGAACAAAATCAAGACTCAACACGCAAGACCAAGATCAAGACTAGAAGTATTTAAGTAAGACCAACACCAAGACTGAAACCTTCTTAGTCATGTTCTTGCTTAGCACATCACTAGTTTAGATATGTCAAGCAGGAACATAGAATATGGAAAAAACACTGATCCAGATGATTTAATCATAGGAAAAAAAATATCAGAAGGAAGCATTGAGCGTCATTATAGAAGGGAGGCTCTTTCCAGTAAAGAGTGCTCTTTGTTTTGTTAGTTTTTAGTTTTAAATAACGAAAAGATTAGTGGTTAAAGTGTTAACGTTATTTTAGTACAGTGACGCATCGACGGTAGCAGGTAGGGTATTTAGGTCTAGATCCCCACATCAGGATCAGAAAAAAAAAACAAAATTCAACGTTCAATTACAGTTACTATTTGATAATATTTCAATTAGTACAACATACGGGCTGGCCTTATCAGCATTTGTTCCGGATTTGGGATTTATTAGAGGATCCACTTTGTCGTTTTCAATCAGGAACTAAGCAGAAATATCCTTTTTTTTTAATGTCCCATTTAAACTGATTTGGTCCTGATGTAGATAGCCCCGGAACTTACCCTACTAAGCCTGGTTCTACCCTATCTGAACCACACAAGGTAGTCATAACTGGACCAAATGTTTTAAAGCGTAGTTATACATATTTCTGATCCGGCCCAAATCAGATAACATGATCAGGATGAGGTTGTCTAACTTAATTATGTCCATAAAGGGTAGCTATCCGGGAAGGGCACTGTCTAATAACACGTTTAATTTTTGGCCAGCGTTGTCAGACCAAGAGGAATTTCCTTAGATCTAGGGAATTTTGAGACAGCTTTTAGGAAATAGGGGACTTTTACATAATTTATTATATAATTTAATTTTTGTGTCAAAGGGGTTCTCATTGTTTAAAAGTTGCATGCAGTTTTTGATTAAATTTTTCCCTCATCCATATCACACCTCGTCACATTAAGCAATTCCCTCTCTCCCTTTGTTTGCAAACTTATTTTATGAACGACCTTTATACATATTAAAAATTTATTTTTATTCAAGTCTTTTTATTTTATCACAACGTAGACATTTAGTGAAAAATATTGTAAAGGAAACATTAGCTAATTGAGTGTTCAAGGCATGACAGTTTTTCTATGCGTTTTTTTCTAATACATATTACCAACGAGCACCATATTCAACAATTATACAGATAAGTAGTAGTTGGTAGGTATACAGACGGTTGGAAACTAAAAGGATTAATCGTATGTTATATTGTTTTGAAAGGAATTCTTTACAGGTACATATTATAACACTTCATGCGGTTTTTCCAAGTTTGTTAAATGCATTAAAAATAATTGCATTGCGAAAACAACAAATTACAACAAAACTATCTTGAGAATTGACTTTTAAAGTATCAATCAGTCGGATTAATAGTACAGCTTCGTTACAGGTTATATATTATAGACTAGCATCTAAAATACAAATTGATCACGACATGCATTTTAATGAGACCGTTCACGCATAACACATGTAATAATAGACTGTGGTGGTTATTAATTAGGCCCCTTGATCTTTTTCAAGGAACTGAACGACCAGAAACTCTATATTTATATACAGGGCGTCCCACCGATGTGAATAACGGGTATGATTTACGTTACAAAAAATACTAGTAATTTATTCTATAGGTAAATCGTAAGTTTTTACGTGTGAACCGAAAATGCCAACAGAAGTTCACATTATCGATTTCTTCACATTAATGAGAATCATTATGTTATGAGCTTGTCAATAAAATTAGAATGTTTTGCAATAGTTTGTAGTGTTTAAAAATTTAATTTTTTATAGTTCTTAAATTAAAATTATAGTTATATGTAATTCAAAAAGTGTGTTTTCAGTAAAATAAATATTTTTCGGAAAATTATACAACCACACAAAAAAGAATTTTAAGTTAATTTAAATCGTAAGCTTTTAAGATCACTGAATCCAAATCCGCGGTAAATTTAATCTCAGCACGTGAATGTGTGGACATAACCTCAAACACCACTCCAAAATCTATTAAACCGTTAATCATGATAGTCACAAACGATTTTAAAGCTAAGATTTCACAACATTTGAATAGGATATCTGCACGATTCCCAAGGTAGTGCGACTTGATTAGTTACCTATTTCAAGTTTGAAATTTAGGATTTCATGATTAATGGTTTTGGTGGATTTTAGAGTGTTTTTTGGTATTATGTCCAAACCCTGACGTGCTGGGGTTAAATTGACCTCGGTTTGGTTTCAGCGACCCCAAAGACTTTTTTGTGACTGTGTATTATCCCTATTTTATCGTTGGGTACAGTTGATGTGTAACTGGCGTCGACTGATACATTTTATTTCGGTAAATTGTGTTATTATGCCGCAAAAGGCGAATGAGGAAAGGTAACTCATTATCAGCGACAGAAATCGAGTCACCTTCGGAACTTTTAGTTCCTACTCCGACACTAAAAAAGAAAAAACGACAGCGAAACATACAGGAAGAAAAAGTCCAACGAACCAACTAACTAACTAACCCAGTGGACAAACAACAACTAACAGTAATGTAAATAATATGGAAAAAATCGTGCAAATTACGTAGGAAGAGATAAATCCGGAGAGATAAAATTGGTGCAGAAAAAAAATTGGAGAAACAATTGACAACCTAGCGGCGCGCACGTTCTATACGGAAGAAAATTTTCAGGAAGAGAACAAAATACAAGCGCTAAGTGGTCGCTGGAAGTCCGCAATTATTATTATGCCAACGATCTGATTACTTTTATTGAATGAATGAATGAATAAATCGTGACGGAAGAAGTGATAAGAAATGTCGACTGTGACGGGAGCTCGTAATGTTTTTAGTTTAATTAAAACGGAAACGATTTTGCCTCTTAACAGGGAAAATGCGTAAGGAGGTGCTGATTTATGTCCTTTCGACCGAGAATTGCTATCGAATCATTACACCTGGTAGAAAAAAAAAGTAGTAACGGCTTACTGTTAGGGTTGTAACGGATATCCGCAAACTGCGGATGATCCGCAACGATTTTGATACATCTATAGCCTCTTCCGCATCCGCAAAATTAAATGGTTTTAAATCCGCATCCTCATTCGGATCCTCACATTTTGATGAGGGTTTTTGGCGAATATTGTTGTACTACAATGTTACAACAGGAAACACGATATTTATGTGGAGATACGACTAACAATAGGCCGGATGACGAGCTATTTACGAATTTTCAAGAAGTGACAAATAAAAGGTACTGTTCGTTTCAAGAAGTTGGAGATATGCCCCTTCCCTTTATTAGAATGCGACGTAGCATAATTCCAAATTCAATCATATTTGTCTGCGGAGCTCATTTTACCACCGATCATCGAGCGAGAACTAGACAAAAGTGTACAGTACCATTTGCAAAATTATTTAAACTGCCTCGTTAAAATTTAAGAATATGCTTTATTTAAAAGCATTTTTATCCAAAAATAATAACAAGTGAATTAACTTAACGTGCTACACACCTATAAAACTTTTGCTTTATTCTTAATTTATATATATTTTTGTTTTAAGAAATTGCTAAACATTTTCGTCTAGCACTGTACAGTTCTAGCCGATCTCTTAAGACCGTCCATAGAGAGCTCTGCTGGTTCAAACTTGTTCCAACTATTTCTGTCTTGCTCACGCCTAGTGTGTATTCTTTCTATCTTCGCGCATATTTCTTCAAGGGCACAATTCAAACAAATTGAAATGGGCTGTAACTGTACGTCTTTTAATCTCGCAATGAGATGCTAGGAAAGCGAACTTATTATACCGCTCATTTACTAATAACAAAAACAGTCATATAACAAAAGAAACAAAACTATCCAATTTGAAAAGGAACCGATTTCCCAAACTGTATAAAACTAAAAAGACCAAATAACAATAACAATAAATATTTCGAGAGAAAAACGAAATATCCGTACCCGCATCCCTATCCTCATTCGCATCCGCAAATCTAGAATTTGACTGATCACCACCGTCATCCGTATCCGCATCCGCTAAAACACATCCGTTGCAATCCTACGTACAACAGCCGCGTTATAAAATAATTATGGTGTTTACATTACATTAATACTAAATTAATTATCAAAAAATAAATATAAGAATGGAGGTTGGAATATTTCAAAACTGGCAATTTATTTAAAGAATATATGTAATATATGGAAAATACCACAAATGGCGCGGTAAACGCCATCTGTAGTACGACGCTTCATTTTAAGATGACGTATGTTCCAACAAGGCCCATTTAAATATATATGGGTATCTACTTCCTGAAACGAATCCGGGCGTAGCTAACCTCAACGTAATCGGCACGTTACCATAATCGAATAAAATAATTCGAAATGGTCTGTATTCTGCCGAAATTGCCAGATGCAGATCGCGATTTCGATCTTTTTGGATCTCATTTTTTTGTGCCTATCACGTTGAAGTTAGCTACGGGATTCGTTTCAGCAAGTTGATATCCATATATTTAAATGGACGTTGTTGGAGCATACGTAATTCTAAAATGTAGCATCGTACTACAGATGGCGTTTACAGCGCCATTTGTGGTATTTTCTAAAACGCGCTGTTAAGACAGCAGGTAAAAGTTGGTCTGTGTTCTGTCGGAGCTGTCTGCGACGCGCTGATGAGATCCAAA